TATCTCGCGGGGGGGTATAGCCCATGGAAAATGAACCACTTCCTTTGTATACCGCATTGTCATTAGTGCTAGCTACATAGGTATCATTAGTCAATTGATTTATGGATATTAGTACTGCTTGCGCTACAACCCCGAGAAGTGTTCCAGATGTCGTTGAATTTGAATTTGAAGGAAATCTAAGGACCTGACCGCAGCCAAAATCTGCTACATACAATCGACCAGAACTATCAAAATCTATTCCATTAGGTCTATAAAGCTGGCTCATGTTGCAATCAATGCCATTGCCTTCAGCAATTACTGTTGCAACTGACGGTGAGTTGTTGATAGAAAATTGTAGAATACGTTGATTTCCATTATCCGCAACAAATAACATATTATTAGAACCGTCATAATACATTCCAATTGGACTAGAAAGAAGTGAAAGGGTAGAGCCAGATGTACCTGCTTGGCTGCCAAATATAGTAGTTGCATTTTGTGACCACGATGATTGAGAAGATAGAGAACATACTATAAAAAGGAAAGAAAAAAACAGCAATTTTACTATCCAACACTTATAGACCAGTTCGAACATCATAACTAAGATGTTCTCATTATATTTTTATGCCTAACTTGTCGAGAAATGTTATACATGATGTAATGAGCATAAATTGCAAACAGTTTTACCAAACTATGTCTCTTACATTATCGTAATTTGTACATTATACCAATAACACACATCTTTTTACAATAACTTCGGAAGTTTTAAAAAACTCACCGGTTGTTGTTGAAGTGATCTGATCTATATTGGAAAAATGAGATTAAAAAAGGGACAGCTTAATCGGATAAGGCTTCGCCCAAAATCTTGCATGCTTCGTTCTACTAATAGTGTAGTTGCTTATGGATGCATTGTGATAAATTTTACGTAAGTTCCAATGAATTTACGAACCTTATGGCTTCTATAATACTTATTCATAGCTATAGTTATACTAGAGTAGTTCAAGACGGTGAGTCTACACAAAATGCAACTTTAGCATCGGTTCATTTGGAGTCCTATATATTTGTGAATAGATGTGTTCTTTTTATACTAACCCGATGGAAATCGTGTTCCACTAATAACATGCATACTGATAGCATCGACATCACCCAACATATTTCCATGTTGGTTCAACATATTATCAAATAATTCACAATTAGAAGTTGATCGATGAAAAGTAGCTGCTGTGCATTGACTTTCACCTAAACATGCTAACTGACAATTCCTAATGTCTGTCGTAATAACGCTAGTGAATGGTAAACAAGTTGTATTGGCACATTGAAACTTGGTATCAACCACTAGAGACATCATCATTGATTGTGTATCGTATCCGACTACTTGTGCAATAATCATAAATAAAAGCCATAAACAAATTCTTCCCGAAGCCATTACCAACTAGACTGTAAGTTGATGAAATGAGTTTAACTCATAATACAAGAGAAAACAATTGTTGAGAAATAATTCTATTTTTTTTATTTCTTTCTCCTTTTTTTTTCTTTTCAGTCTGTAGCGGATCTTTTTTTCTCAATTCACCTCATCATTGTGGTAAAAAAGCAATCTTGACTTATTTATTTTGAAAGAAGGTTATTCATTCGGAGAGATGATTTTTTCTGTTTAAATATTATTTAACGACAAATATATTCACAAATAAAGCTTTTGAGTTATGTGAAAAAAGAATAATATAAAGAACAGTCGATCTAATAAAATTGAATTTGAAAAGATAATATAATCAACATTTAGTTGGGAATGGAATTTTCTATAGAAAGTAAAATACTTCAAATGTTTCTCATAGATTATACCATATATCAGTGATCTATCACATCATTCATATCAAATAAAGCCAATCTTTAATATCTAAACGAAGAATAATCAGATGAATTGTTTGATTAGACAAGAAAACTGAACACTTCTTGAAAATAAAATACACTCGAAACGCAGTATTCTTACAATCGAACAAAAAATTTTCAAACTGTAATTTATAGTTCGAATTCGAAGGTACTTATGTTAGTTTAGAAAAAAAAGGAAAAGAAAAAGTTTACTTAAATTATAATTTATAATTAAAATACGAAGGCATCTATGTTAGTTTAGAAGAAAAAGAGAAAGTTTACTTAAATTATAATTTATGATTCAAATACAAAGACATCTATGTTAGTTTAGAAAAGAAAGGAAAAGAAAAAGTTTACCTAAATTACAAGTAACACGACGCAATTGTCGCTGATCATCTACTGAAAGAATGTGATCAGATCGGTCAGCATACTTAAAATAAGATAGAGATTTGTTTTAGTTCATGAATCGAATCACTTCTCAAAAAGTCTTTTATTATACATCATTTTACTTACTTCAAGCCTCTTAAATAAATACCTGGTCGTTCGTCGGCCTTAAGGGTGAGCGTGATTTCCTCCTATGTGTTTTCCGAGAAGTTTTGCTTTTGTGAACATCTAATATTTCTACTTTTAGCATGCATCTGAATAGAGTGTTGATTTCTCTAATAACTTACGTAATTTCAATAAGATAAACTTAATTATTACATTTAAAGCAGTTTTGATTGTTATTGAACTTACTGTTATTGAAATCTGATAGTGCAAAAGTTTTGTTTCAGCGCTTTTCGGACACGATGTGACATAAATAAAATAAAAAATATATGATTTGATAGAGTAACCGATGCTCGATCCGCATATATCTTGAGGATGTGGGTGTGGGTGTTATAATCTTCTCTCATCTACACTCACCCTCGCCCACTCACACCTTCGAGATGCTTATCAAGTTTATCAGCAATTTGAAAGACATCAACGATGAATTTTCTTCGATCTTGAAGGAATTTGTTGAGAAGCTCTGAACAACATTGAGCACTCATTGGAATTTGCTATTGACAATGACAATAGTAAAGTCGTCTAATGCGTTTGGTATAATCTTTTCAGGTGTAGAGAATGTTAAATTGCTTCTATCGCAACAGCTACGTCTAGTGAGTTTCTCCCCACCGCCTCAAGGCTGTCACTTTATGTGAGAGGCAAGTGGCAGAGAAACGTCAGTATTTTTTTTCATTATCGCCTTTTACCAAGTAATAATGGCTTTCTCCGGCGAACACGGTCGACTACTCTCGGAAAAGATCGACGATGAAGTTCTACGACTTCTAAAAGTCCGCGATATTGAAGATTTGATTGTGAAATATGACCGTTTTGCACGGGATCATTCTGATATTGTTCGTCGATTGCGACGTTCCTTTGTCGATCGAGTAATCAATCATTTTCTCAATCGAGCGCTTGGTTCTGCCATCGGAGCCGATGAAATCAGCTTAACGTGCAACTTGATCGAAGAGTATTGCTGTAAACATGAAACGGATCTTCATGTGATCTTCGACTACTTTCACAGTGATATTGCAACCGTGGTAATGAATAGAGGTTTAGTACCAAACTGGACTTCATATCTGCTCAATCCAATAACAAAACTCATTGCACGTTCCTTATTTGTCAAACACTGTCCAAAACAAGCTGTACAAAGAATCACGGCACAGTTGTGTCCTACGATGGCAGACAAAAACCCGTGCATACAACCGTCATCTGCATCGAATGAAACAATCACACGATTAAAGAAATATGTACTGCTGTCGATGATACTTCTCGTCGTCAACTGGATACAGACTCAGCTTTTCGCCATTAGTTCTGCTTTCTTTGTCGCAGTAACTATGTTCGCCATTATCTGGACAAAAATAATATGAACGTTGTTCTATTATAATAATGATTGTCAGAGCTTCGTAGAACGCAAAAAATAAAGATGCTGCGGGAAGGAGAGCGAGATAAATCTATTTGGGGACCACGACAAGCGTATATGATACAGAAATATCATACGCCTGTTCTCATATAGTGGAGCTAAGAGAGGGTGTGGGTGTGGGTCTGACTGTGGACTATTTAATCAGTAGCAATGCTCAAGTCCAAACCCATCTACACCCTCACGCACATACACATCCATCCCTTCGCACTACAAGAAATTCAATTCAATTTCGGAGAAAAACAGTCCATTCGGCACGTATGAGTTTGCGTATTATTTCGAAATGACTTGCGCCAAGAAAGAAAAACATTCTCAGTTCAGCTTGAGCTGCGACTTGCAAGTTTTATTTTTCTGTGGAAGAGAACGAAAAAAAACGTCACTTTTTACAGTCAATAGGAATAAACAGAACTGGTGTGACTCAGACGAGAGGAAAAAGAAATAATAAGAAAAACTTTGACGGATACAAGCAACGTGTTTAAGAAACAACAACGTTTATTTGAAGACGTAGAGTGAAAAAAAACATGACAAATACCGTGCAAAAGCTACCGGCAAGAATCATACATGCAATCATCGCTGAAAATTTATCCTCAGACAATATTATATATTATGACGAACATCAAGGTTGGGTATATAAAAGATTCAGTGATGACCTTAACAACACTTCACGACAAAATCTTAGCGAAGTTCAATCATCAAGTCTTGTCCAAAATGCACGTCCACTGGAATCACTCGGCCCTTTCGGTAATCTGCAAATCAAACACGCTATTTTACTTTCATCTATGGATTTTTTTGTTGATTTTATTTAGGTACTCAACCAACTGATGTCTCTATAATTATTGAACCAGGTGAAGTTATTTATAGAACAAAATCATTCAATATGATATTGAGCGATCTTACTCAATACACTGTCGTCGAATGTTTAGGACAACATGCGCCGTTGGCGCTAATAACTTTGCATGGCACAGCTCGTAGCGTTTCTCATATCCCACATGATGCAACACATTTCTGTTGGGTTTATCCACCAATCGAACTAAGTGAGTTATGTGAGAAAACAAAACAAACTATTGACAAAAAAGTATCAATGGGTGATTTATCAAATAGTTCCCTTGCTTTCGGTGGTTTTACTTATTTTCGAATTAATGAATATAATAACTATATAATGTTACAAGCTAATGCACTTGTGAAAGCTGATAATGGCCTCGTATTTCATGGACCTCATGACTGGCAACCTGCTTATACAGCTCATCTAGCTAAAACCGGTCGATTTCAGGTGCGTTCAAATGCCTTAAAAATGATTAGTAAATTTATTTATTTTCTATTTGTAGGATGTTACTGTTTCGTCACTCATAGATTTGGGTATCAAATGTTATTGTTTTATTAATCCAAACGAGAAGCTTTGTAGTTCTGTTGAGGGTCAACCAGATTGGGCTCCTGCTAAAAATGGTGGTTTCGTCTATTTGTATGGATCTCCTGGAAATCCTCATCCTCTTGATCGTTATTTTTCCATTGCGGATGCACCCATCACTGAGCAAATCAGTACACAAGTTATGCCATTCTCATTAATTCGCAATTCACATAAAACCGTTGAACGATCAAGTTCATCCTTACCATCGCCCTCTTCGAATGCTGACAAAGACAGATTTAACTGTTCAATTTGCCTCGATCAAACAATTCAATGCATTTTAATTCCATGTAAACATATGTGTGCATGTGCTGAATGTGCTCAAATGATCAACAAGAAACAAAACTCTCTGTGCCCAATATGTAGAGAAACGTTTACCGAAGTGTGGAACGTTTTTTTATAAGAGAAAATCTCTTTTTGAAGGGTATGATTGGATGTGAATGTGATATCAGAGGAAACGCGTACATATTCACACTCACATCCTATATATAGCTGCTGCGTTTTCAAAGCGAAAAGGAATAAATATATATAGAGGTAAAGATCTCGTAGTTAATCTCTATATTTTATCTTTTAACATCACTGAAATAAATCTTGATTCATTCGATGCTTTGACTTTTCAATGATTACTTTTGATAGTTTGCTCTTTTGTAGTTTCATTTATTAACATTTTACAACTTCACTAAAGTATTTGTTTATAACAAATAAACACATTTATGCCATTTAAAGTTCTATCAATCTTTATCTTCATCGATATTTTTCTGAACAAAATCAGACTGTATTTTGGACCGGAAACTTCGTTTCGGGCAATATCGAATTTAATCATTCTGGTAATGAAAAATTGAAATTCAAAACGTATCGACGTCGGGTTAATTGGTACACTAGCTTACCAAAATGTAATCGTTAGTACTTATAGATACAAGGCAAAGAGAAACACTCGTCACTTGATATTCTTCAGCCAACGGCTCAATCTAAATTTCTCTAATGCAAAAAGTGATTTTCTCTTACCACATGGCAATTATAAGTGGCCATTTCGTTTCTTTCTTAACGATTCCTTACCACCAACACTCAAAAAGAGACAATCCTTAGATTCATTTATTTATTATTTCATTGGGATCATATTTGTCAGACGTGAATGGTATAAACGGAACATTCAGAAAATTATACCTATCGTTGTTAGATATATGCCGTTACCTGTAGATAAAATGAAAGTTGAAGCACAAAAAAAGAATCGAAAAGATGTTCATCTTCATGCGATTTTGCATAAATCAACCATCGCTGTTGGAAACAACGTTTCGTTTGATATCGAAATACAAAATCCTAAAGAAGTCTTAATTGATCGAATATCGGTGACACTCGCTCAATATTTGAAACTTGGTCCTGCTGTACACAGACGGGTCGATATTCTTAGTGGAACTCTCAAAGCTATCAATCACTTTCAAAACTCACATCTTCATAAAAACTTTCACTTTTTTATTCCCCACACAATTCCGCCGATGTTTTCATTTCATTATCCTATGAAGAGCAAAGAACAACCAATCATAGTAAACTATGAACTACATTTCGAAGCTCATCTTAGTGGATTTTCTACTAACATTCGATTACAACTTCCGTTGATTATAATCGAGCTACCATATATAAACTATAGTTCCTGTCTTTTTCTCCAGCTAGATAAATAATTTTTGAAAACCTATTTAGCAAATTCTCTTCTACATTTTTTCATAAAACACACTAATATTGTTTGCTTTTTTCTTTTTAAAAACAATCAAAAATAAACCGTGTCTGATAAGCTTATAAATAATTATAGTATCGTCTGTATTCATTTACATGTGCTTGGATATATTAAGACAATGAAAGTAATATTGTGTCTAATTCGACTTTGAATAGAATAGGTGTGGGGGTTAAATAAGAACGACACCCACCCACACTCACACCCTCAAGATGGAGTAATAGAAAAAAAATGACTTCACGTAAGTACAATCAAGATATGACTGTGTATATGAATCAGGTAAACAGTCAATAGACGCAGAATAGAAAAGAAAAATTGTTGTTTTTGTTGAAAAAAATACACGTGTAACATTTAACTTTGACACTATTTTGATTTAAAATTGATGGATGAATGATTCGAATGGGACATAACCTTTGTCTTTTTAACGAGATAGAGACACGAGTTTTTTTTGCGTTCTGTCACATATCTTTTACCAGTTGAATACGCTACAGAGAGTATGATTTTCTGTTCTGTGTTAATTTACTGGTGACAATGACGATAATGTGTAAAATATTCTTTTCTTGTGTAAATGGTTTCAAACCTTATTTACAAAAGAAAAAATTGTTCTTTTCCTCTACGTAAAAACATCTCATTTTTGATACTACTCAATAATACTTTAACAAAATATAAACCTATTAAAATACGCAACTAATGCTATTCTAGAAAATGCTTTACTTCATTCAGTTTTCCGTCTATGTAATTATTTCTGTATAAAGAACAGCCAAAATCAGCTTACATCCTTAAACCTATAATTAAACCTTCAGAAGGATTAGGAAGTCAATTATATTTTAATGAGTATTAATCATGTTTTTTTTTAGACTATTTTTTCCTGTTCTAAAGAACGCAGTAGTCATTCATTCAGTGTCTCCTGTCAGAAGCGCATCTCACTAACATTTCAGTTCTTTTTAATGGATTCATCTACTAGTCCCGATGTGAACGTATTCAACAATGTCCTTAGTTATGTTTATCAATTTGTTGGTATTCCATTTTATATATGTGGCAATCTTGGAATATTACTGAGTGCTCGTATATTTTGTCAGAAAACTTGGCGTAAAAATGTTTGCGTTTTTTATTTTCTCATTTTCCTCCTTACTAATTTCATCAATATTAATAATACTTTGTTGGGTAATATTTTTATCTATGGTTTTAACAATCAAATACTGAATACTAATATGATCTTGTGTAAACTATTTAATTATGTGTCATTAGTCTTTGATACATTAACACCAACTATTCTTGTTCTTGCTTCAATTGATCGACTTTTAATTTCTTCGACAAATGTAGAAACACGTTTGTATAGTTCAAGACGTTTGGCTTATTTTTCTCTTAGTATAAGTGCCATCATCTGGTCTATTTTTTTTCTTCATACTCCCATTAAATTCAACATATATGAAATCGCTCCATTTGTCTCTATTTGCATATATGAACCTACTCAAATGTATACTGATTTTCTTGATTATTCCGAATTAGTTATTCATCTTGTCTTATTTTTGCTAATAATCATGCTTTCTGTTTACTCACATAAAAATGTTCGTCAAATGAGATCGATTCCAAGACAACAACGACAGGGTATTCGAACAATGCATAAAAAAGATTTTCAATTACTTCGTTGCTTATTCGTGAAAAGTATTGTTCACATTTTTGGTGATAGTCTCATCGTCCCATATACAATCTATCAAGGAATACCTACATCTGAAATATCAACACCATGGGAGCAGGCACGTGGCAGATTTCTCTTTAACCTTGGTTTTTTTATTCATCTGCTTCCTTTTTGTACCGATTTTTTTATCTATGTCATTGTTTCGAAAGATTTTCGTCAAAAATTGAAACAAATTATTTCGAATATTTTTCGTCAAAATCTTGTAATAGAACGAAACAACGACAAACAACAAGAATTAAGAGCTGAACCAACGGAATTACGTATTGTCAGCACTATCGAACTAGCAACTTAAATATTAAACAAAGGAATTTATCACTCTCCGTATTTTTCATTGAAGTCTGTTTATTTATTCAAAATATATCATTAAAATTTTCGATGAAAATAGATTTTATTATCTATATGTTTAATTGTATAATTATATTTTTCAGAATCGATTATTTCCCGTAATTTTTCAATTAATTCATTTTGTATCGATGGAATACATAAGCACATTAAAATAAGATATTTGACGAATTTAGCATTGGTTTTGAAAATAAATCGAATCAATAAAATGGGATCGATATCATTTGTACAATTGATTAGTAAATATTTCATAAATGGACATAGATAATGAACAAATTGAATTTGTTCAATTTGAGATACATATTCTAGATTAACTCGTGTAATATTTTTATTTTTTTGTGATAAACGTATAATACGTCGTTTTTCATTGATTAAATATTCTGTTTTAAGTAATGGTAAATGTGACATTCTTAAGAATTTTAGATAGGATAACTGTTGTATCAGCTTGATTAAGTTTGATATTGTAATCCTACTACAATCAACGTCAAGATGAGTAATTTTAAATACAATTAAAAATAGATTTATCTTATTGATCAATGTTTTATTTACGCTTTCATGTAAATGATTTGTTACTGAAAGTGGAATTGGCGAATTAATATTTTCTATTACTTCAAATTCCAACCATTTTTTTCTAAAAGAAACAAAAAAAAGATATATTATTTTTCTAAGTAAGATCGTTGTGCATACCTATATGGTCGAATTGAATAGATTATATCGAAATTATCAATACTAATATCAAATATCCATTGTCGTTCGATCCAAAATGAACATAGAAATTGAT